ACCAAGAAGGAACCATCAATACTGATTCCAAGTATGCCTTTGGAGTGGCCCATACATTTGGAACAATTGGGACTAAACAAGGTCTCATTAATAGTAAAGGTCAAGACCTTGGTTCACAAGTAGCTAATCACCCAAGTATTAAATAATCTTCAGTTGCTGGAAGAAATAGCTATTGTCCATGATCCTGGAGACCAGAAATGCCTTTCTTTTGAAAGCTGAGGAAATAACCTAGCAGAACCACCAACCAGGCTGCTGATTCTTCTGAAATGTGTATTTTTCACTTAACTCCCTACCTCCCTCCTCCTACCGTAATCCCCATTTTCTCTTCCACTGAAAAAGAAAAACTAATTTAAATAGGTGCTAAAGAGAATTCAGAAGGAAAATGGATATTGCCAGACCAGAGAAAAATGTTGTCTAAACCCCTTATGAGGGAAATCTTATCCCATGACATCAAGGGACCCGTTGGGGGCCCCAGGCCATGTGTGATACAGTTCTCAGAGTTTACGGTTATATAGGAATGTATACCTTGGCCACACAGGTTACAGATAGTTGGTTAGTACGTAAAAAAACTAATAAGCAAACCATAAAAAGATTACCCCTCGGCGTAAGGAATCCAGGCTTAAGGCCATTCCAAAGCATCCAAGTTGATTACACAGAAATGCCTCCAATAGGTCATCTAAAGTATTTACTAGTGATAGTAGATAACTTCACTTACTGGGTCTAAGCTATCCACTTTTCAAGTGCAACAGCCAATATAGTAGTCAAGGCCCTAGCTGAAAATTAGTATCCAGGTTTGGACTAATAGAAAATACTGACTCAGACAATGGAACTCATTTCACCGCACACATCATTAAAAAGCTATCCCAAACATTAGACATTAGATGGGAATACCATACTCCCTGGCACTCACCCTCATCAGGGAGAGTAGAAAGAATGAGTCAGACTTTAAAGAACCACTTAACCAAATTAGTCTTAGAAACTCAGTTGATTGACAAAGTGCCTTCCTATTGTCCTGCTGAGAATCTGAACTGCTGTGAAAAGATACTGGTTTTTCTCCTTATGAGATGCTCTATGGATTGCCCTATTTACACTCCACTTCTGACATTCCTACCTTTGAAACAAAACATCAGTTCCTTACAAATTATATACTTGGTCTATCTTCTGCTTTCTCTTCTCTTAAAACTAAAGGTCTTGTAGCACAGACACTGCCCCTGAAATTCTTGGTGAATCAACAGCAGCCTGGGGATCACGTCCTCATCAAAAGCTGGAAAGAAAGGAAGCTCGAGCCAACCTGGGAAGGACCTTACTTAGTGCTCCTAACTACTGAAACCTCATTCCAGATGGCAGAGAGAGGATGGACCCAACACACCTGAGTCAAGAAAGCACTGCCGCCTCTGGAGTCATGGGCCATAGTCTCAGGAGAAAACCCTACCAAACTAAAGCTAAGAAAAATTTAGCTCTTTCACCTATTCTATTACTCTTTCTTCTCTCCTCACTCTATTGCTGACCATCCAGTTATTAATGTAACCAAGTCAATTTCACCTCACGCTATTACATTTGATGCTTGCTTTGTTATACCCTGTGGACACTTGTCAAGTCAAAGACGGCTCTCCACCTCAGAAAAGTACCTCTGTCCTTCCTGACTCTCCTCAGACTGGACATTAGTGAATTGGGACCATTTAGTCTGTGAAGATATCGATGAAGACCCCATTATCAACCAGGAATCTTGCCTCCGACCCCTATATAGAGCTTTTGTGCCACAGTTGGTCCAACGTTCTGTGGACCACTGAAGAGCAAGGAGGGACTGCCCCAATCAGTAGCTGTAATTTCCTAAAACCATACATTCATTTTACTAAAGGAACAGCTTCCCCTGTCAGCTAAATCAGTATAATCCTATACAGGTTATCACTCAAACCCTCAAAGTTCTCCCCCTTCTTATCTAAGCCGGTTCTCTTCTTTAAGTCGGATTTATGGTGTGGGGGCTGAGGTTTCAGAAAAAGGCACTATCAGAACCTCTGAAATACGTTTCATTGACCCCCTCATTACCTACACTGTCCTCTAAGCCTGCTTCCAGAACCTCTCATAACAAAACGATTGTTTCTCCTCCATCTAATGACAAGACCAAGGTAGCTATTGTAGAAGTTAACGACTTAAAACAAACTTTGGCAGTTGAGACAGGGTAGCAAGATGCAAATGTCTGGCTGGAATGGATCAAATATTCCGTCTGCACGTTAAACAAAAGCAATCGTTATGCTTGTGTGCACGGCAGGCCAGAGATCCAGACTGTCCCCTTTCCATTAGGATGGTCTTCTAATCGACCAGGCATGGGCTGTATGGTAGCTCTTTTCCAGGATTCCACACCCTAGGGTAGCACGTCAGACCAAACTTTCTGCTATATCCCGAAGCTCGACACCCTGCGGGTCAGCCCCTGAGGACCATCCAGCTTCCATCTCCCTACACTAAGTTCACTTCATGTCTCTCACAACAAGGAGGAAACTTAGCGTTCCCTGGAGACCCAAAGGGATGCAGTGAGCTTAAGACTTTTCACGAGCTTACCAATCAGTCAGCCCTTGTTCATCCCCAAGCAGATGTGTAGTGGTATTGCGGTGGACTTTTACTAGACACTGTGCCAAGTAACTGGGGCGGCACTTGTGCTCTAGTCCAATTGGCTACCCCCTTTCACCCTGGCATTTCATCGACCAGAGGAAGAAAAAATATAACATCATAAAGCAAAAGAAGCCCCTTATGGGTCCTTTGATTCTCAAGTCTATTTAGATGCAATTGGAGTCCCACAAGGAGTACCAGATAAATTTAAAGCCCACGATTAAATAGCTGCAGGATTTGAGTCAGTATTTTGGTGGGTGACAGTTAATAAAAACGTAGATTGGATAAATTACATTTATTACACAACCAACAGTGGTTTATTAACTACACTAGAGATGGTGTTAAAGGAATAGCTGAGCAATTAGGGGCTGCTAGCCAGATGACTTGGGAAAACTGAATAGCCTTAGACATGATATTAGCAGAAAGAGGAGGAGTTTGCATCATGATTAAAACTCACTGTTGTACCTTCATCCCAAACAATACTGCCCCTTATGGAAGTATAACAAAGGCACTGCAAGGCCTAATGGCTCTGTCCAATGAGTTAGCCAGTAACCCAAGGGTAAATGACCCCTTCACAGGGTGGCTAGGAAAATGGTTTGGTAAATGGAAGGGAATGATAGCCTCAATTCTTACTTCTCTCACAGCAGTAGTGGGTGTGCTCATTCTTGTCGGATGTTGTATCATACCATGCATCCATGGGTTAGTGCAGAGACTCAAAGAAGCAACACTTACTAAACCTCCCTTAACCATCCCTCCACCTTATTCAGAGAAGCTTCTTCTTTAAGAAAATCAAGCAGAACAACTAAGCCAAGACATGTTAAGGAATTCTGAAGAGAAAGCTGTAAAGAAAATTCACGAGGAGGGAATTGTTGGATGAAATGAGTTCTAAATTTCTCTTCAAAGAATCAGTATGTCAGTATGTTCAGTCCTTTGTCTTCCATTTTTAACTTCCTTGTACTTTCAGTAAACAGCCTTTTCTTTTCTTTTTCTTTTTTTTTAATTTTTATTATTTATTTTTTTAAAGATGGGGTTTCACCATGATGGCCAGGCTGGTCTTGAACTTCTGACCTCAGGTGATCCACCCACCTCAGCCTCCCAAAGTGCTGGATTACAGGCATAAGCCACCATGCCCGGCCTGTAAACAGCCTTTTCCACCAGTTCTAATCAGCAGTTCACATCTGTTCCCCTGGTCCCCTGCTCCGTCCTGACTCATTCCAAGCACCTGCTTTGACCTGAGTCACCCATGGTCAACTGATCTAACCTTGAGTCACCTTTAATTACCTGTACCTTAAGTGATTTTCCTGCCAAACCACTTACCCCGCCACTCTGGCTCATAGCCCTGCTCTCTTAAAAACAGCCAGTCAGAACCAGCTTAGGTTGTGCGGTGGGAATGACACAGCAGTAGGGGCTGCATCAGGGATAAAAACCTCTTCCCCTCCCCTGTTCAAGTGCTCCATCCGTGAGACGCACGCACCCTTCTATAGATGTAAATTGCCTTGTTGAGACAATTTATATTCGAGTGTTATTTCTTTTGCAGCACTGAAATTTCACATATAACAATATTATAATTAAATTTACTACTAATCATTGCTAATCCCAAGTTGGATGGAAAAATATCAACATTTCACATACAATTCTTAAAATATTTACCTTTTAAAATATTTATTTATGAGACAGGGTCTCATTCTGCCCCCCAGGCTGTAGTGCAGTGGCATAGTCAATGCTCACTGCAGCCTAGACCTCCCAGACTCAAATGATCCTCCCATCTCGGCCTCCCAAGTAGATGGGACTACAGGTGTGAGCCACCATACCACACTAATTTTTGTATTTTTTTGTAGAGATGAGATGTCATTATGATGCCCAGGCTAAAATATTTATCTTTTACAGAATTCTTTCATTTCAAAAATTACGTTTACAGTTTTACCAGAAAAGAACATCTAAATTTTACCTTGCCATGCATATTTCTTCCCATTCAAATCAATAGCAAAATCTTCAGGATAGAAGTCAATTATACTAGAATCCTGTATCGGGGAGAAAAGTAAAGAATCGAAACAGAACTCACACATCTCTGTTATAATGAATTTGGTAGGACTTTCATTCAAGTTATAAGTCCTGATGAGAAAATAAAGTGCATTCCTTTTAAAAAATGTTAAGAGATATTAGGCCATTAATCACAAATATACTAAAACAAAATCAACAATTTATTTTTAAAGATGAAAAGGAAAAGCATTATTGTAGAAGAATTTTAGAACTGACAACTACAGGCCACAGGCAGGCAGACAGTAAAGGGTTTACACACTCTAACACTTCCTATATCCTTGCTGGGTCTCACTCTTTCTAGCTAGCATATAAAACAAGTTCACAGGTGACCTGGTGTAAAGCAGTCTCCTTAACTCTGGTAGCTACAATATACGGCTGGAATAAATAAAATTAAAGACTTACAGGTAGCCAGAGAACAAAGTAACTGTTATAAAAATTTCTCCAAAAAACAAACTGATTTGTTTTCTCCAAAAACAAAAATTTCTCCAAAAAACAAAGAAAGCAAGAAAAATATGCGTATGTGGAGTAAAAAACATACAAAATAACTCAAAATACTTTCTTTCTGTACTTCACTATTTTAACTATCCGCTGCAAAGGCAATTGTAACTAATATTAATAAAATGTATGATGAAAATCCTGTCACCCACACTTTCAAAATACAGAGACTCACGGGATCACTCATAAGCTTCCGCCATGATGGAGGGAGAAAATTACCACTTGCAGCTGGAAAAACTCCCATAAGTTGTTCCAGTGGTTTAAACTGCAAAAATAAAAAAGTTAATATCCAAGATTACTATCTAATCCAAAATTCTGTAAATTTTATGACTTTAAATAATTAAGCTTACCGGTTTTGTACCCTTCTCAAAATCAGATGGCATGTCTGCAATGCCTTCAAAGTCTGAAGCAAATGGTGCATAATGAAATGGATAATACCACTTCCAGGAAGCACAGCCCTAGAATCATTAAAAAATAACAACAAAAAGGAAAACCTATGTTAATGATGGAGACAATTTAAAAAAAAACAAAAATTACATTGTTAACCTATAATATTCTATTTATAAAACACATGACTTCTGGCATGTATTCCAAACACTATCTTTTCCATGACTCCTAAAAACTTTTAAAAGTTTGAAGTTTCTAATTCATATCAATGGCTCTTTGACTTTAAAAATACTGCAAAGCATCTTTGAAAAATCAGTAGTTAATGTCAAACTTTATATTCGCAAACAGAATTTGGTGAAAATTTTTATCTTTAAAATACATAGTGACATTTCTTTCCACCTCTAGAGCTAGCAGCATCAAATAAAACCAAGAGCAGTTGCAGCTGACATTTACAGAGCATGTAAGGTGGTTAGAGACATTATTGGAACAGTGGCTGGGAGTAAAACAGCCACAAGTTTCATTTTACAAATCACCATTATATTTTCACATGACGACTTTCTTTTGACTATAAAAACATGTGAGTAAACACACAAAAAAGAAAACAAAAGCAAGTTATAATCATAGAAAAGAGAGATCTAAGATGTGTTTTGACTGTGTCTAGTGAATCTAAACCTTGATGGTAGGAGTAAAACATGCAAATAATACTTAACAGTCAATACTCAGTGCACTGTGTTACTTTCTACTTGTCAACAAACTTCACCTACTCCCAGGTCATACCAAATTTAATCTGGTTTGCTCTCTAAGCAAAAAACCGGATATTAACTAACAGTGTTAACAATCCTCAGTATGTCTACCTAATCTCTCACCAATCTGACATCTCAATTATCAAAAGGTAGAATACAGGTTATTCCAGTTAGAATGCACTTCATCTATCATTGCTATGTTATGAAAATGGTAGCATTCAAATTCCTTTAGAATTCTTACTGGTATTTTTCAGGCTTTGTCCTTTTTTCAGTCATTTAGTGACTGTCAATTCATTACTCAGTTATTTTTAAACTCCAATTTAAAAAGCACTGAACTCTGATCATCTTAAAGACAAAGTACAGGCAACCACATTACTTGATGTTGAAAATACTTTTAACGAAAATTAGCTTTGTTTATATACTAATACCTAAGAAACTTCAAAGTCTCCATAAACATTTACAGTTATGAACCTCTGAACAGAAAACTTTAAAAAATGAGCCCGGGTTTGTTTTCAGAATACAGCTCAACAACATGTATTATTATAGAAATTACTAGGCCAGGCGCGGTGGCTCACGCCTTGTAATCCCAGCACTTTGGGAAGCCGAGGCGGGCGGATCACGAGGTCAGGAGTTTGAGACCAGCCTGACCAACACGGTGAAGCCCTGTCTTTACTAAAAATACAAAAATTAGCCAGGTGTGGTGGCATGTGCCTATAATCCCAACTACTCAGGAAGCTAAGTAAGGCAGGAGATGCTTAAATCTGGGAGGCAGAGGTTGCAGTGAGCTGAGATTGCACCACCACACTCCAGCCTGGGCAACAGAGCAAGACTCCGTCTCAAAAAAAAAAAAAAAAAGAAGAAGAAATTAGTATCTTTCTTAAAATACTGACTACAAATTCAGAGGAAAATATTCTTTTTGTACCTGGTAATAATATCTAAGAACCCAGCAAAGTCCTTCAACGTAAGACTGCACAACTTTCCGACGGAATTTCTCATCAGCCGCATCCACATCAAACTTGTTCTTGTAGTACCGCTGCTTCCAGCCAGCTTCCCATAACCTAAAACCAGGCACAGCTCATTTATGCTGAATTAACACACCTTCAATAACAGGCTGTCTACCAATTTACACCCCAATTCAATTTATATTTAATATCCAGGGGAAATACGAAAAAGGCAAACAGTCATGCTAACACAGATTCATTTCATTCTTTTTTTTTTTTTCATTATTTCTAAAAAGTTTAATTTCGTAGGATTTATTATCAACTTAAAGATAGTTAAACACTAACATCCCAATCACTTATTCTGTTAAGACCATTATAAAACCACATTTTTAAAAATGTTATTGAAAAAGATACAGAACACGTTTGCTCAAATTTTAATACTGCTTTACATGTTTCTTTGCACAATTCTAAAGCTACATTTTAAGATTCAAATATTGAAGATATTTTATATATTTCAAGTTCCTTAGTTTGTTAAAATATATTTAAACTACACAAAGAGTCAACTAAATTACTTAGGCTGCACAGGTAACTTTTTTAAATATAAAAAATAGTTTATAAAAGAATAATCTAGACATTAGGCAGAAATTATGTGTATACCTACTCTCTCTATCCTTGCTTGGGCCTTATCCCTCTTTCAGCTAAGAGCTGTTGATGGCTTAAGGAAAGGAGATAGAGATATATATAGAGAGACATACACATTCTATATCTCTATATATCTACGTATACATATACACACACAAACATATGTATGTTATGGTAAAATCTAGAAGCAGGTCAAAGAATCCACTAAATTATCATTCATCACTGAAAATACAATGTGACCAACCACATTTTCACCCAATATATTGTGTTTTTTTAAGAATCCATTTCTTATTCTTTAAGATTTAACATTTGATTTAAGGAACACGAAGAAGCCAAAGAACACTTTTAAAAACATCCGAACAGATCAAGAACATCAAGAGGATTCTCCATTTAGGCCTCTTTTCCACGTATCAGATTTCACATATTAATTGCAGTCATGTTTCAGAATATACCATATCAATTGTAATATACCCCTCCCACAATACAAAGGATTCAGAAAACAATTAGAAATATCCCCTTATCCATAAGGTAGATTATCACTATTTTACAGAAAATATGAATGAAAAAATGCTAAAAGCCCCAAGCATTTTTTGGTAGAGGCATTTCCACTCTGATTATCCTCAGCACCAGAATTAAACAATAAAATACTAAACAAATCAAGTTACCTATTGAACTAGTATTGATCATGATGGCTACATAGTAAACAAAACCAAAGACATGCTCTAAGGGGAAAATCCAAAGTACAGAAAGTAGAGGACAGAAACTAAAGATGTACAGAGGAAATGTTTGATCACAAGTAGACATGGATCTGATACCAAAGGATGTTAGAAAAATGCAGAAACACACATGATCCTTGCAACGTTTAATCATAAACACAAATCACATACTTTCCATGTCCTGTAAAAGAAGCATGAGCTGTAGGTGACTACTGTCTTGTTTACCTTTGAAATAGATCGTTTTCCTAAATTCTTAATGAGCTACAATTATTGAGATTGTTGGCCTTTTGCACTTGGAGCCCACGGTTCAAATCTGGATTTAATTATACGAGAGGTTGTTAATCTTATTATATAATGATCTCAAACTTCAGGATGAATTAAAGAACCAGCTTCCTATTATAAATTTGAAGTATACAGTTAAAGGGAAACTCCTTTGTCATGAAATATAATTGTGCATATGCAAGTTTGTGGTTTTTAAAAAAAACATACATATTGATCTCTTAACAGAATGATTTCTGCATATTTCATTTTGAGGAAGAACTTTTTCAATTGAGAAGATTAAAGCAAACTATATTAAGTGTCTAAGTACTAACTGAACTTTCTAGGTTAAGCAGCTTGAAAATTTAATCAGTCTCCAAACAGCAACATTCAGATCACATAGTCAGAGCTAACACCTCATGTCTAGCCGATCTTGTGCCTGGTCTCAGAGGGAAAAGTGGATTGGAGGACGAAAGCCTGCACGCATACTAATCTAGACACTTAGGTTTAACAGCTATAGCTTACCCATCTCTCTGGAATTTACTGACTTTTCTAACCCTCCACATTAATTACTGGTGGATAAAAAGATCACAGGCAAGCATCTGAAGGCACTGCTGCTCTAAGCTAAATAGCATTAATTAGAACCGCATCTATTTCAGCAATTTGCTAACAAAGTGCTACCAAAAAATGGCTTCACCTGACGTTATCCTCTGGCTCAGGTTCACTGTCACTGTCTTCTGCTTTTCGCTTAATTCCTCCTATTGGAGATGGGGAGCCATCAGATGTGAAACTCGTATTAGGAGATACTGAAGGACTCTGCAATTACAGAAGAAGGATTTCATTATTCATTTTACACAAGAAGGTATATCCAGCCACCACTACTTAACCGTGTTTTACAGTAACATTTTTAAAGCTACTGTGTAGACATGATAAACATATTTAGAAAGTACAGGGACTGATCTTGCTCCATTCCACTTTCCCTCAAAAGAAATAATGTAATACCCAAACTTCCTATGCTTACACTAAAAAGAATTACCATTATTAGGGCCCAAAAAAAAAAAATGTTTCTGAAGAAAAAAGTTTTCATTCTATAGATTTTTTTTAATTATACTACTTGAATTTTATTCTCCTTTGATGGTTCACAATCATTTGTGACAATCAATTGTAACAATTCCTGTTAGGAATTCACAATCATTTTCCACCTACCAAGTGGCAAAGCTATGAGGGAAAAAATATACATATAACATATATTTTTTATATATGTATAGTTCTATATTATATATAAAATGTATTACCTATAGAGCATATAATATATAACAATATAGATGTAATAATACATAAAATATACTCAAAGCTGGTGAGAATGCAGTTAAATGGTAAGTGTTCAACCTAGTTACAACCACTGTGAAAAGTAAGTTTAATGAGACTGTGTTAAATTATTTTATATGTTCTGTTTTAAAAATCAATCTAAAAATAAAAATCTATTAGTCATCTTAGAAAAATGCAGATTTCATTGGTATTTCAAAGACTTAGTTGTCACTTTAAATTCAGCATTATTGTACCTAACTCAAGTAACATTAATAGGTTAATTTTAATTAACTTATTTTAATATAACCCTAACATATTTTAATATTTAATTAAAAATTAAAAGAAAATCTTCTGCAACTTTAGTTAATTAGGCTAAAGGACCAAATCATCAAAAACGTAAGTGGCAGAAACATTTCCACAGTAAACTTTTTCCTGTTACTCACAGTATTATTAGATATTTCAAGTAACTGAATTGTTCTAAAACTGAGAGCACAGAAGGCCATTTCAATGATATAACAATTACAGTATCCACAGTATAAATGCAGTTCATTCCACAGGTCAAGAAAAGTTAAAACAATACGAAATCATATATCACATAGAGCTTAGAGCATTTCTCTTTTAAAAACCTATAATGTCAATGTTATTCATGAAAAGGTACAGATAATATTGTCAAAAAAAAAAAAAAAAAAAAACCAGGCCGGGCGCGGTGGCTCAAGCCTGTAATCCCAGCACTGTGGGAGGCCGAGGCGGCTGGATCACGAGGTCAAGAGATCGAGACCATCCTGGTCAACATGGTGAAACCCCGTCTCTACTAAAAATACAAAAAATTAGCTGGGCACGGTGGCGCGTGCCTGTAATCCCAGCGAGTCAGGAGGCTGGGGCAGGAGAATTGCCTGAACCCAGGAGGCGGAGGTTGCGGTGAGCCGAGATCACGCCATTGCACTCCAGCCTGGGTAACAAGAGCGAAACTCCGTCTCAAAAAAAAAAAACCAATAAAAATAATACAGGAAGGCACTGTTGTACTTGGAAAACAAGGTAGATATTTTTAGTTAGACAGATCTAAGTCTAAAATTCCAAATTCAACCTTTACTGGGTGTGTGGCCTTGAACAATTTATTACTTAAGCTCTGTGAGCCTCATCTTAAAATGGGGATGACACTGTTCTGTTTCCTTACATGTTATTGTAAGGGTTAAATGCACCAATACATGTGAAAGATTATTGGCATGCTGCCTCCCTGGCGCATGGTGGTTAACCATTCAGTAAGTAATCACTATTGTTTTTCCACCAAACACTAATCCATTTGGATTAAATTATGAGAGTGACATTCCCATTAATTGTCTATATATAGAGAAGTTGTGTAAAAAGTAAACTTAAACAAAATTAATTCTTGACTAACAAGATATAAACTCTACCTTTAGAAAACAAAAATAATAATATACTTTCTAGAAAAAAAAGCTGTTCACTATTTAATGTTAAATCTCCACTGCTCTGCCTCTACCCACAAAAATATTTTCTGAACATACAAGATTCACAGAAATTCATTCAAATTTCTTGAGCTGTTTTTTAATCAGACAAATTACATATAAGGAAACCACACTGAAGAATACTCAATATAAAACCACACATATAAGGAAACAGAAGCTATTTATTAAAACACTAAGAATGTTAATCATCAGTAGTCAAGTACTAGAGACTACAACCCAACAGCTCAGAAAAATAAAACAACAGAAATCCCTAACTTTAATGGCTCCCTTTAAATGAACTGGTAATTTGGCTTCATAATTTCCTTAAATTTAGAACATTCTAGGTGAAAATCCCACTCTGCAAAGATTCAAATTCCACATCTCCTCTATATAGAAATAACTGTGGCAGAGGAGTTAATTAAGACAGAATCAAAGAAGCAACCTCATCACCAATCTCCCCATTACTACTCCCCTGGCAAATGTTATCGATCAACAGTCTGGTCCTATGGGCCTAATCCTACAGCTCCTGAAGATAACACTGGAATCCTTCTTGAAGCAACCACAGCTGGCAAAGTTTAAACCTACTTGCCTCCCAAGATTTAAAAAAAAATACCCTATCGACAGAGCATTTGACAACAACAGTCACTGTCAGTTCTGCTCTGCAGGGATGGTAGTCAGTAAAATTTTGAATGATGGTCATCAGCTATTCCTGTTCCAAATGAGCATCAATAGGATAACTAACAGAATAACAACAATATCCAAGTTTATTCAATTTCCTTGGATATATCATATAAAAAGCGTATGTTCCTTCCTCTACTATTAGATCAAGGTCTGTGTCCTCAGCCCTGCTACTGTCCCACTGGGTGCTGTGAGAGCTCATGGACTATTTCCACTACAATAGGAAGGTGGTGGACAAAGTACAGCCTTGCAGGATAGGTGGATTTGCTTCTGGAGTTTGCATTACAAAGTTCAAATATGGAAGAATACTACAAGGCAACCAAATGCATACGGTTACTGAGTTCACAAACAGGGAGCAACCAGAGTTTAAATAGTAAGGGCTACCTTAAGATATTTATTCAGATCTATTCCATCCTGAATTGGAGAGCCAGAGTTTATGCCTAAGGAATACCATTTTGCAAAATACTCACAACTACCCATTGAAGGAAAGGGGAAATAAGGGAATAAAACCCATCTTCCTCCTCTTGCCCCAGCTTTGAGACATATGGATGTCCCCTAACAAGCTTCTAGCACCATCCATCACTCTATTATTTGGAGAAAGGGGAACCAGTGTGTGGTTCATCTGCATTACAAAACATTGCAACCACTTAACTTATTTTTGAGACAGGGTCTCACTCTGTCACCCAGACTGGAGTTAGTGATCTCTTTACATTCTAATGCATCAACAATCCCAAGGGCTTTTCTTTCACATCATTTGGATATTTTTACATTGATAAAGATGGACTTAACATAGTTAAAAATACCTTGAGGCAAAGCAATTAAGAAAACTGTAAAACAAAACTCCAGGCTGTGAAAAATTTCATACACACACACCCCTGCAAGAGGTATGTGATATTCAGCACTCTTAAATGCCACATAAAAGTAAGCCACTTACAGAGTTATTCTGCATCCTCATTTCATAGGCTGCTTGTCTCGGATTATTGGCTACTTGAGAACCTGGTGAATTTCTTGAACCCAAGGCATGAGGAGTTAATATTCCAGTGGGAGTGAAAGCTGGTTGATCTCTCTAACATAAACGGAAATGAACGTAGACATTAAAATTAAATCACAACGCAGTTAGGTGACAGAAAGAAAAGAGGGCAATGGAATAAAATCCTAACTGTAAGCACTTTACTAAACTCACTAAAAGACCAAATCATCTTCATTAACATTACAAGGTTGTCTACACTTTGATGGTAACTTATACCTTCTGAACAATAGCCTACAATAACTTAACAACTCAGCCCTAAAAGTACATATAATCATTGTCCTGAAACATAAATCTATTCATATCTCATTATGCTAATCCCCATTGCTTATTTACAATTTCAGAAAACATTTAAGACACAATATTAGGCACATAAAAATAATATCAGAATTAAGGTTAAAAAAAAAAAAAAGTTGAGTTTGAGTTATACTTAGGAAATACATTTTTTTTTTTCCCTGAGATGGGAGTCTCGCTCTGTTGCCCAGGCTGGAATGCAGTGGTGCGATCTTTACTCACTGCAACCTCTGCCTCCCAGGTTCAAGCCATCCTCTCACCTCAGCCTCCTGAGTAGCTGGAATTACAGGTGCACGCCACCACACCTGGTTAATTGTTGTGGAAACACAACTTTTATTTACCCTTCACCTTGCTAGAATTTAACTCTTTATTTCTAATTAGATATGATTATAGCTAACATAGGATAGTCTTGACTGACTGATAAAAGATACTGACTGAAAGAAAATAATAATGTATCTGTAGAAACCAAATATCCTCCGCCCAGTCTAAATGATTTTGAACCCACTACAAGAATAAATAACTCTACGTTTCTCCTTTCTTGTTTCCTGAAATTGCTTCATTCTAACAAAACGTAGTAAAAGGCAGTCCCTAAACTCCACAAGCTTGAAACTCTAATAGGGAAGACAAGAAAACAAGGACTAAAGAAGTTAAACGACTATAAAGCATTATGCAATCAAGTAAGAAAACAAGTATCATAGGTAAGAATCACCAGAGTTAAAAGAAAGGATTGCTCCCCCTGTACTATGAGCATAACCAAGAAGGGAGGCCTTGTGGAAAAGGTAAGATGTGAGTGAGCTGCAAAGTCAGAAGTCCATTCAGAGGTGCCAAATGAAGGCAACACTCTTAGTCAGCAGGGACACGGTATATTTAGAAAACAGGAGATACGCTGGATGGCTGGAATTCACCAGATAACAGGAATTCATCAGACGACAATGTACCCTGAACACCAAACTAAGACAGAATTGGATTCTGAAGGGATTAAGGAGTCAGTGGTGCTTTTAGAACAGAGAAATAAGTCTAGTGTGTTGTGTTCTAGAAAGATTAATCTGACAAAGATATAGAAATAAGAGTACAGTAACTTTCAAGAAGATACAGAAGACTGACCATTTTTACTTAAAAAACAATACTTGGCTGCTATGAAACCATTCAAACAGC